TTCGGAGCAGTTGTTTTTGTCCCAAACCCATCTGGAAAACGTTCGAAGTGAATGTGAGCTGGTTTACTTGTTCCTTTCTAAAGGTCTTAAAAACCATTTAGTTTCCAGGTCTCGCAGATGTGTCGATATCTGAAGATATCCCAGTGGAGGGAGAGATCACCGTTCCCGTCGGATCCCGCTCTCCTGACGAGGACTACTCCACGCTGGATGAGCCTGTTAAGGATACTATTGTGAGTCTCTGCCTCCGTCTGTGGTAAAACACGTGTTTTCCTGATATTTTTGGCCAACTGTTAAGCAAAAACGTATTTTTGCATAGCACTGCTTGACTTGTGCTTCATTCTGAGTTTGGAGTGATTTGGTCTTTGTTTTTTTTTCTTAGAACTAGCTGCATGAAATGAATTCCCAAAGTTGCCTGCATGAACGCTGTCTTTGCAAGGGTAAAGGCCTCAGGTGAAGTGTGGGAGAAAGCTGTCCTGGCTAATAGGATTTTTCATCAGTTTTCTTTTTCTAGAGGAGTGAACAAATATTTGTTCTTAACTGAGTGTTATCAAAGTATGAAATACCGCAGTTGTTGAGGAACGTAGAAAAAGCACGTCGTTTGTTTCAAAGGAGGCTACAAAAATTTTGGGGGTTGGATTTTATCTTGATTTACCACCAATAGTCCTTGACTCCTACCTCTCCGCTTTTAGTTGGAACTGGAATTTTTATGAAGGGATAAACTAGAGCATTACTTCTTTTTTTCAGATGAGAGATCTGAAGGCCGTTGGAAAGAAGTTTATCCACGTCATGTATCCGAAGAAGAGTAGTACGCTCCTCAGAGACTGTGCGTATAAGACGATTTTCAAAATGTTCAAAGCCAGCAGGCTTTTCCTGCATGGGAAAAGGGAGAGTTCAGTGCAACAGAAATGTCTTTTCCCTCTTTTTTCTGCTGTGGAAAAATCAGAATGTTGCCAAAGCTCTTTTAAAAGTGGAGCGTGTGCCAGAGTGTGTAGGGCAGGTAGCTTTGGCAGCTGGCTGGTTTTGACCAAATTGTATTACAGAATGTGGCATAAGAGGCTAAATAGTAAAATGAGAAGGAAGTGTGATCTGGAAAATGATAAGTCAGGAGATGGCAAAGGTGCTTGGTTACTCCCAGGAAAATGAAGCTGAGCATCATTCTCTGAGGTTTCTGATTTTGTTTTTTCCTTTCTCTGCAGGGGATCTTTGGGGTCCGTTGGTGCTTTGTGTCTCGCTTGCCCTGTAAGTACCCAGAGTGGGGGTTTTGTGGTCTTTTACACTGGAGAAGTGAGAAACGAAAAATTTTGGGTGACGTGTAAGATGTGTCTCCTGCAAACCTGCCTCCTTCGGTCGTCTCATGAAATGTGCTTGTGACGCTTCGAGCCCCTTAGGACCTCCCGTCTTTAAGATTTAAGGGTGAACTCTTCCTAGTCCCGTGTCTTAGGAATGATTTTACTGAACAATAGCTGGTGGAATTAAAATATCCAAATCTTCGCGTGCTCACTTCTCCAGGCTTCGTGTGGCTTGTATCCTGTAGGTTTTATAAGCTTCCCGTAAGGCTCGTGTGTTTTATTATGCACTATGCTGCCTGCTTTGAGAGGTTACCAGACCTCGAGTACTTCGATTCTCAACTTTTAGTTTGTAGTCTGAGGGTTTGTTCTACTTCATTTGCTTACGCAGTCCTCGAAGCAAGTAAACAAATGGACTGAAATGCTCTCACTTGAGCTAAAGGCTTTTTCCTTTCCCGTACAAAATTGCGGATGCTACTAAAAATAAGAAAGCAGATGAAAAATGATCGGTCTGCAGCTTCACTGGGGTTCAATGTTTCAAGCTCCTGTTCTGCCATCTGCTCCAAGTCACTGATTGCCAATGACTCGTTTTGTCTGTCGCCTACGACAGGATGCTTCAGGGTGGGTCAGCAGACAGCAAGGATGACGGAGGGCCCCAGTTCGCCGAGGTCTTTGTCATCATCTGGTTTGGTGCCGTTGTCATCACTCTGAACTCGAAGCTTCTCGGAGGAACTATGTGAGAGCTGGTTTGTTTAGTAGCTGCTAAGGTGCACCCGCGCGCGGAATTTCTATGGGGCTTTGGTTTCACTGCTGTCCTTCCTTCCCAGATCCTTTTTTCAGAGCCTGTGCGTGCTGGGTTACTGCATCCTGCCCCTGACAGTGGCGATGCTGGTGTGCAGGCTGGTGCTGCTGGCGGGGTCCGGGACCGTCAGCTTCATCATACGTCTCATCATAGTAGTAGCTATGTTCGGCTGGTCAACCTTAGGTGAGTGCCTTCCTGTGTTCTGGCGCTGTGTCGCGTGGTGCTGAAGGAGATTGATCTGCACGCTTTCTCCTGGGTGAAGCCAACAGATATTGTAGCTTCAGGTGTTTCTGAGGCTGCTGGAGTGTTGTTGGAAGAAGTAGTTCTTCTAATCCTTGCGCTGGCAAGAGATTCAGCCTCTGCCTACGCTCGTGTCGATTTTCACAGTCGTACACAAGTGGCCCTTGGCAGAAGGATGATGATTTAGTATTGAAACCCATGTGAGACTACTGGGTATTTTCTTCTGTGATTTATGTTCTGAAGACTGTTAGAAAATGCTGATTTCGTGCAGATGCATTTATGTTATTTCTCCTGCTCTTAATCTGTAAGTCTGGCTCTTGTTACAGAATGTTAATCAGTAATTATCTTCCTATCTGATAAACAGAGTTTTAATTGCTGATCACAGACTGTTGGTATTGAGCAATGGATTGCTCTGTTCTCCCTTTCAACATAATTATAACGCAGCTCCTAATTCGAAATTGTTACTGTCTACATTGAATTGTAGGGTTTTAGTTTTGTGCTGCTCGTGTTTCAAGTATTTTTCTCTTCCACCAGCATCTACAGCTTTCCTGGCAGACAGCCAGCCTCCAAACCGCAAAGCCCTCGTTGTCTACCCCATCTTCCTCTTCTACTTTGTTATCAGCTGGATGATTCTCACCTTCACGCCTCAGTGATCTCCCATTAGAAGAGACTGTGTAATACGGACTGGAGTTTTTCATGAACGCTGCAGTTAATCGTTGGCTTTATCTCTTTCTAATTTATATATATAGATATTGTAAAAAGGCAGGTTATGGGATAAAGCCAGAGAACTGCAAAACTTGGTCGTTTGTGTGTCCCTCTCTTTGAACGATACAGAGGTCCAGCTGCTGAGGGGTATTTTATTTAGCTCCGCTCTTCAGTTGCATTGCATAAGAAATGCCCACTGTGCCAGGGATTGCTCCGCCTGAGGGACGGAGCCGGAGATCCTGGGATTCCGAGGTGCTGGGTAGATGAAGTTGTATGATCGCGCGACTTGGCACAACTCGTGCTTGTGCTTGGATTCTCCCTGGAGATGAATATGCCTTACAAAGTAATAGAACTTCGCTGCTGTTGTCTGTTGGGTAGGGAAGCAACGTGCTTGACTCCTTTTCATTCACTCCTAGAGCGATGAAATGTACGTAGGGTGCATCGCAGAACTTCAAAACTAGATTCCAGCAGAACATTACGTGGGTCCGTTATGCCGTTAGGTGGAGCCGGGCAGAAGGGAGCTGCCTTTGCTCTAGTTGTGTTTTGTGTGTTTGTTTCATCCCTCCATGTGGCAAGAATAGAGCGTTCCAGCCAAATGCCTTCAGCATGATGGTTCCACTAACTAATCCACGCGTCTGTGAGAGGGAGCGTGTTTACACCGGGTAGGTACAAATCTTTTCAGGTGACCATCAGTTAGAGTTAAGTCCTGGAGAAACAGTCAGAACTGGTTTGCAGCAGGGACTTGGCTGTCACTCTGTCTTGAGAATGGCGAACTGTCTGGAGAGTAGCAAGCAAAGTGTGTGTGTCTGTTAAAGAAAAAAAACACAAAAAAACCCCAAACCAAAAACCAAGTTTGTGTGAGGTAAGTTGAGGTTTTGTTATGTAAGATGTTTGGGTGCTCACATACCACACCGAGATTTATGGCTATAGATTTTGAAATGGGTTGGAGGAAGGAAACTGAGTCATGATGGTGGTGGCTGCTGTGATGTAGGATGTGAATTCTGCTCTTCACTGCTTCTAGGTGACTTTTCATTTGGTTGTTTACACGGGTGGCGTTTCAACAGGAATGTGTACAAATTTGCAAATTGTTTCTTGTATTTATAACAAGATCTGAGGAACTTTTCCATAGGGTTTTTGTTTGCATGGTTTTTGGGGGGTTGGGTTTTTTTTTTTTTGCTTAATACTTTTTATAAAAGGGGAGGAAGCTTTATTCTCCTGTTCTCTGCAGGTGACTGGGGTACCCTGCCTGGAGAACCGTACGCCAGGTGAAGATGTGTGTCATTTGTATTTCAGCATAGGGATGGGGACCAGGAGGATTGCTTCTTGAAAACCCTGCAGAAATTATTTGTGTTTGTCTACTGTTTTGGAAGCGATCCCAGAGGAGAGCTTTGAAACTTCTAGGGGCGAAAAAGCTGCTATTAGAATGTCCCTTTTCCTGAAAATGAGTGTCGTATTTCCGTTTCCCTATCGCAATGCAGGTAGACCTGAGATCGATGTACGTGGGTCCTGCTGAGGTGTAAATGTGCCTAATTTATACTTATATATAAATTGCAGTTTCTGTTGTGAACACTCTCAGTGTTTGATAGTTGCGACGGAAGCTTCTAGATGTGCAGATTAAAAGTATTTTTGCATTTGTGGGAGCGTAGAGAGGAGGGAAGGGCAGGGCAGCAGGGGCCCAGCCGTGCAGCAGAGCTGTGTGAGGAGTGAGGCCGGCGGCTGGGGGTGCTGCCAGGGGAGCCGCAGCGTTTCATATCCCTGTGAATAAAATGGAAACGGGGAATTTCTAAACTTCCATTGAATTATTACCGGTATGGGATGTGACTTTTCTTTGAAGTGTGCAGTCTTCCGTTCATTCAAATGTTAGTTTAGCTTTATGAAACTGAAAAGAAATATTAAGGGAAGTAGGTAGTAAAGTGATTGATGACTACCGGGTGGTTCTTTGAGCCCAATCTTTCTTTCCTACTGCAGCACAAAAATTTGAGCATACTTGTAGACAAGTCCTTGGAATTCTGCCTCTCTAGTGTCTTGTGACGTAATCTGATCTTATAGCTGAAAGACAATTGGAGTAACATTTAACTGATTCAGTATCTTTTTGAAAAGAAGGAAAACAGTTTCTAAGAGGAATTAAAATCCCAGCTTTTTCCTCGCTTGGTTTTGACTTAGGGACAGGTCTCTCGATAGTTTGTTCTGTGTCATTGCTCTTGGCGTAGGCAAGAGAGAAACTCTTTTTTGTGTTAACTAGATGAACTTCTCAACTGGTTGCTGAAATCTTTAGTCGACGAGGTATTTTTAATCTGAAAGAATAGGCTGAAATATAGTGGTTATATGGTGAAGGTGGGATTTCTTTTTGCTTATTTTTTAACTCACAGCAATCCTTTAATATGGAAGTCATTGTCTTCTGCAACTTGCCCTAAGTTTTTAGCTGTCAGGGTGCAGGTAGGAAACTAGATCTTTCAAGTTTTCGTTCGTCGAGTTGAATAAACTTAAGTTTTTTACGTATGATGGGTTTTGTAGTTGTTGTTTCCTCTGGCGGAGAGTAGAGGCTGTCGACATCCTGGGACAGAGTTGCTGTAGCTCCGTGCCTGCCTCGCCGTGCTGCGTCGTGTGAGATGTGCTTGATGCCAGGGCACCTGAAAGCGTGCGGTGTATCTTGTCAAAAATAATTCCCCATCACAATGTTATAATCGGTTCTGGAAGAGCTTCACTAAGAGTGGCTTGGACTGTCAACTTGAAGATCTTTTGAAAAAGCTGAATAGAATTGCTTAGAAGGGCAGAGAGAGCAGGTGGGAAGCGCTGGTAGAAGCGAGCGGGGAGGTGATGGGGGAAGGTTAACTGTCTTACGTCAAAGCGTTAAGAAGCCAAAAATGGAGTTTGTTCCTCAGCCAGATGTCGATGTTCTGTAGAGCCACTGCTTCCTTTGAATTGGCTTTCCCTCGGCACACTGGTGGTTCCCAGAGGGAGCTAGATACGGGCACGTTAAAGCACGGCTGAAGTGTCAGGTTTAGGCAGGTGGAACACCTTGAGCTTGCTGGGAGTTTGCAGACTGCCCAGAAGTCGCGCTGATGGTCCTTTCAGGTGGTGGTGTCACCTGGGAGTGGTGGGAGCGCCTGTTTGTGGGGCAGTGCTCCAAGTCGTTCAGCCTGCTAGATATCACGTTCCTCCAGAAACGCACGCGGGTAAGTAGTCCTTATAACCACAGTGTGCGTTTTTACTCTGTTACCAAAATGTATGTGGTAAATCGTCACGCTCTCCAAGGAGGAGGCGTCTCCCTTCGTATTTAAAGCTGGCTGAGGGAAGGACAGCAAGGAGAAAAGCGGATGTCTTGCCTTTAATGAAGTGTTTTAACTTTTCTGTAGAGAATGTGGGTGATTTTCTGATGAATAAACCTGGCTTCCTTTCCTACTGAGATTTTTTTTTAATAATGTTTATCAACTGAAGTTGTTGTATGTGTACGAACTTAATTTTGATCTGTTTAATACCAATGAAAAGAATTTGTTTTGAGAATTTCTAAATTAAAACACACTGAAAGGTGCGTGGGGAGTCTTTTGTGTGGGTTAAGGGTCCTGTGCTTGTGAGGAAGGGCGAGGAACAACGGCGGGAGGCAGCCGCTCCCGTGCAGCGCGGAGCCGCTCCGAAGGGCAACCAAAGGCAGCGTCTGGCCTGCGAGTGGGGAGCAAATCCAGAGGAGGTGGGCAAAGAAAGAGCCCAGCTCCCTGTGCCGGTGGAAAGCATTTAAATTGTGTTTCTGTGCATCGGTGAGTGAACCCGTGTCAGTAGAAGCACCAGGATGAGGCATAAATCCTTTTCCCCTCTGCTGGAAGAGCATCGGTCGGATTCTGTGAGGACGGAACGCTGAAGGGGGCTCGATGGTGGTGGCGGCGGGAGGGTGGGAGTCCCCTTGAGTACCCAGCGCTTCTCCCTGGCCAGACCCCCAGCAGGACTGGGAGGAGGTGGTCTAACAAATGACTGGCAATTAAAACGCACCTCTGGGAGCTGAACTGACCGCTGGGGAAGGCTGGAATGTCCCGGCGGTCACGAGAGGGCGGCACGACCTCATGGTCTTTTTTTTTTTTTTCCTTTGCCTCAGCTTTTTCTGTCCCATCAAGGAGATCCAGGCTGTGTTGTGTGCCCTGTTTGGGAGGCAGGTGAGTTCTGATCTGCCAGCCTTGGCCATTGACGCCGTGGGAAGAGACTCGATTCGTGCTGCTGTGCCTCACCTGCTCGTGCTGACGGGTTTATACCTGGCCTGCCTTTTCTGTAATATTGATGCAATTTTGAGCAAGGAGATTACTGTTACCCGGCAGGGGGCGTATTTTTTACAAAGCCCATTTACTAGGGCAGTGGGGAAATGATTACTAATGTCTTTTTTTTTTTTTGTTCCCCTCCAAGGTGACAGTGATCAGAATACTTACAATTGTGCGTAGGAAATCATTAAGTGCTCTGTGCACCCTCTGCCTCACCCACAAACCACAGCAGAGAGGGAAACTGAGGCAGCACAAAGCCCTTGCCCCTGGGCTGCCCTGCTTGGCTGGGAAAGCATGGGACCACCCTTCACAGCTGGGCTGCCCCAGGGAGGAGGCTAGGAATTCCAGTTTATTCTGACAAATCTGGCAATTTTTCCCCAATGAAAGTAATCTTTTAAGGCTAATGTTCTGCGTGGAGGATTGCACGTTAAGGCAAGTAACAGGTAAGAGGCAAAGGAAGGGCTTTCCCAGTGAAATCGGGGAGCAGCTCATCCTGTGGTCCTGCTGGCAGCGAACCTGCAGTTCCCGACCTTTGGCTGCCTTGGCAGGCGACTGGCGAAACGGCCGAAAGCGGAGCTGGAGGCTGGAACCCTCTGCATCCTCCTCGCCAGAGCCAGGCTGTGCGCCCGGAGCGTGTGTGTCAGGGTCCTGCGCGTCGGGGGGCTCCCCTCACCCTGGGAGACCCTCTTGCTGGCGTCGGGGGG